AATGCAAACCACGGAATGGGAGAAAATATTTACAAGTCACATATCTGATAAGGGATTAATATCCAGAATATATAAAGAACTCCTTCAACTCAACAACAACAATAAAAATAAACGACCCACTGCAAAAATGGGCAAAGGATTTGAATAAACATTTCTCCAAAGAAGATATACAGATGACCAATAAACACATGAAAAGGTGCTCAATGTCACTGATCAGGGAATGCAAATCAAAACCATATGAGTTACCTCCTCACACCCATTAGGGTGGCTGTTATAAAACAGACAAAAAGCAGAAAATAACAAGTGTTAGCAAAGCTGTGGAAAAATTGGAACCCATGTGCATTGCTGGTAGAAATGTAAAGTGGTTTTAGCCTGGTGTGGTAGGGTGCGCCTGTAGTTCCAGTTACTTGGAAGGCTGAAGCGGAAGGATCATCGGAGCCCAGCAGGTCAAGGCTACGGTGGCCGGGAACATGCAACTGCACTCCAGCCTGGGCAACAGAGTGAGACTCCAACTCAAAAAAAAAAAAAAAAAGAAATGCAAAGTGGCGCAGCTGCTGTGGAAAACAGTATTGCACTTCTTCGACAATTCAGACTAGATATAGAATTGCCACATAATTTAGCAATTCCACTTTTGGATATATACAGAAAAGAATGGAAAGTAGGGATTTGAAGAGATGTTTGTACACCAAGGTTCCCAAGTAGCATTATTCACAATAACCAAAGGTGGAAACAATCCAAATATCTGTCAATGGATAAATGGATAAACATACCATGGAATATTATTCAGTCTTAAAAAGGTAGGAAATTCTGACACATGTTAAAACATAGAGGAACCTTGAAGACGTTATGCTAAAGGAAGTAAGCCAGTCACAAAAGAACAAATACGGTATGATTCCACTTACATGAGGCACTGAGAGTCAAATTCATAGAAACAGAAAGCAGAATGATGTTTACCAGGGGCTGGGAGGAACGGAGAGTGGGGAGTTATTTTTAATGGCTATGAAGTTTCAGTTTGGGAAGATGAAAAGGTTCTGGAGATGGATGATGGTGATGGTTGCGCAACCCCATGCACTTACTTAATGTCACTGAACTGTACACTTAAAAATGGCTAAAATGGTGAGTTTTGTGTGATGTATATTTTATCACAGTAAAAAAAAAAGAACTCAGCTGTCATTGTGCTAAAATGGAGCATTCTCTAAGATGTATGCTCATTGAGAAAAGCTTGATTCAGAAGGGGGGTTTTGAGCTATACAAATGTGGTTATATATGCATAAAATATCTCTGAAAAGAGATGACCATCACCTAAAACTGGTTTTCTCTGAAGAGGGGCATGGGGTGGTAGTTGGATGTCAAAAGTGGGGAGGAATCTTACTTTTCATGCTATGCCTTTTTGGACATCTTGAATTCCGTACTATGTACACTACCCATCCAGACAGATTATTATTATTTTCAGTGTGTCCAATCCCAAGCAGTTCCCTTGAGCGGCCAAACTCTTATTCTAGTGGTGCTACCCAGTTCAGAACACGTTTGGAAGCTTCTCTTTCACCTGCCTTCCAAGCCTCAGGGTGTTGTTTTGCTACCCTCCATGGTAGCAAATCCTCAGGGGTGGAACTGAATTTTGGAAACGGTCCCAAGTGCTTTGGAGCCAAGTCTGGTAGTTGTTGATTTTGACTAGAGAATAGATGGCATAATTTATTTGTTTTCTGCTTCATTTCACCAAGGAACTGAGGCCTTGGGCTGGTCTGAAGGCCAATTTCCTTATGTGGTCCACGACCATTCACAGAGAAGAGCCCCAGAAATGCTGTCCTCAGTAGCATCATAGGAATGGGTGCACAGTCCCCTACAGAAGGTTATGGGTTTTGGTAAGTGACTGAAGCCAACACCAAGTGCCTTAAATGAAAGAAAGGGAAAGTTTACTGGCCTGAGGCCAGGAAGTACAGTGAGGGAGCTCACAGAATTGAGGGCAATGCTGCAGGAACCAGGGCCCTAGCCTGTTCTTCCTTTCCAGGGTCCCTGCTTTTCCTTGTGTGTTGCCCTCTCCTTCCCACTCCCCCAGGAGCAGGAAACATGACTACCTCTGGCTCCAGTTTAATAATCCTAGTTCCATCTATAAATTCTAGAGAAGGTCTCTGATTGTCCCTGCTCAGGCCCAGGCCCATTCCTTGAGCCAATCACTATAGTCAGGGGGCTGCAGTAATAAGACTGACTGGAATCAGGGTCTTTGGAAGTGAGAGCTAGAGAGGAGGTGCCACATTTGTCATCAAAACAAGGGGATGGGAAAGAAAACCTTGCAGACTATTTTGCCCAACAACGACAAGGATGGTGCTGCCTGGATTGTGTTAAGGACCCACGTGGTCTCAGAATCCTACAGGAGTATGCAGACTAGTTTGGGAGACGAGACACAAAAATAACCAGAACACAACAGCTTGCACTGACTCAAAGTCTGGATAAGAATATCTGGAACCCCCCTCATCCACCTCAGAAGCTTGTCTCCTGGGTAAAAATTTGACACTTAACGTGAAAGGGCTTTGAAAAGACAGCAATAGCAAAGTCCTTTACAATTCACCTGGCACATTCACACCCCCAAGGCCAAAGCACAGCTGTGGAGTCAGATGGCCTCAGCTTCCTGAGCTATAAAATGGGAATGATGCTAGTTCTGGCCCCCTAGGCTGTTAGAGAGTTGGGGGTCATGGGTGTGAAGTGCTCAGCAGATGGGCACACACTAGGAGGTCAGCATATGTAAGGTATTATTATTGCGGTTGTGTGAATTGGTAGGACATGGACCTCCTCAAACCTTCCCTTTTTTTTTTTTTGAGTTGGAGTCTCACTCGGTCGCTCAGACTGGCATGCAGTGGCTGCTCCCGGCCACCGCAGCCTCGACCTGTTGGGCTCCGGCGATCCTTCCGCCTCAGCCTTCTGAGTAGCCAGAATTACAGGCATGCGCTACCACGCCCGGCTGATTTTTTGATTTATTGTAGAGATGAGGTCTCGCTGCCCAGGCGGGTCTCGAACCCGCGGGCTCAGGCAATCCACTCACCTCAGCCTCCCAAAGGCGTGGGATTATAGGCTGAGCCACCGAGCCTGGCTCCTCAAACCCTTTAGGGCAGGCATGGCAAGGCTGACCATCCCCATTTAATAGGTGAGAACCCCGAGGCTCAAAGAGGGGAAACCCGTGCCTCCTAGTAACTACTCCTGCTGGTAATGACAGGCCCCGGTGGGACCAGCAAGGGGTTCCTCACCCAGTGCTCTATTTCCAGGGTTTGCATTCCAAAAGGGCCAGCCCTAAGAGGGGCCTGTGGAGTGTCAGGTGGAGGTGTAGAGACATAGCCAGTGTTCATGGAAAAGTGTGGATGTCCTTAGGGTTCAGCGAGTGCCTAAGAAGGGCCTGTGGAGGGATGGCCAAACCCTCTGCAGGGCTCCATTCCTGTGGGGGCCAGGAGCATTAGGAGGGTGGGAAGCAATTGGGGTTGTTACCCCCAGACTTCCTTGACCATCTGACGCCTGTCTGTGCCTCCTCAGGTACCCCCCCAGCTCCTCTCCTGTGCCTTGTCTCCCAGACCGATGCATTCTCCTCTATAAATACCAGCTCTGGTATTTCGGGTTGGCAGCTGTTGCTGCCAGGGAGATGGCTGGGTTGACATGCGGCTCCTGACAAAACACAAACCCCTGGTGTGTGTGGATGTGGGTGGTGTGAGCAGGGGGATGAATCAGAAAGGGGGTGGGGAGACCCAGGGGGCAGAAGCCAGGCTAAATGGGTGCGGGGGTGGGAGTGTATGCAGCAATTGGAAACTGAGAGCCCATCAGACCCTTTCTGGAAACCACCCTGCTGTTTATAAACTTGAGGCCCTGCCCTCACTGGGGTGTCGGGCTAGGGGGTGGGGGTGGGGATTAAGAGGGCCTACACTAGTCCAGAGGGAAACTGAGGCTCACAGCTAGAAGGCAGGAGCAGTGAACATACAAGGGCAGGTAGGCTCTGACCAGGATTGCTCTGTCTGCCTGGTGCCCTTCCACTCTCCCTGCCTGCCTAGAGACCCTCTCAGGCCTGACTGGCCTTTTCCTGAGACCTCCCAAAGCTCTGCAACTTCAAGAGAGTCATTAGGAATGAGGTGGTTTGGGGCCTTTCCTGGGAACAGGCCTGTTGACCCTTTAAGAAATGACCCGCGTCTCTCCTTGGAGCAAAAAGGGGCCCCTTCTACTAACTGGGAGCCTCTATCCTGCTCTGTCCCTCGCCACCCCCAAGACGAGGCAGGCCCCCAAGAGCTGAAAAAGGCCCGCCTGGGGGGCGCTTGCTGCTGGTAGGCCTGCCTGTCTCCTGCCCTCCTGAGTGGGTCAGCCCCTCCCAGGACCACACCCGCCGGCTAGGGGCGCAGGGCCCTCGCGGGGGAGCGGGCCACCCCGCCCCCACGGCCAGCGGCCGCCCTTTCCTGGCAGGACAGCGGGATCCTGCAGCTGTCAGGGGAGGGGCGGCGGGGGCTGATGTCAGGAGGGATACAAATAGTGCCGACA